GGTGGTGCCAACGACGAGGCCAAAGCGACCGCGACGCGTTCGTTGCTGCGCTCGACTTGGGTCTAAACAGCTGGGCCTTTCAGAGCCTCTTGGCGTCGTGCTTGTCGTCAAACGACCCCCGTGACAACCTCGTCTTCCTAAGCAGCATAACGGACGCACCGACGCAGCGGCCAAGGCATTGTTCGAAGCCAACGAGCTAACGGCGTGGGCCCACTACGTGCTTGACGCGACGTGCTAGGCTGTGAGACTTCTGCCCGCCCGACAAGAATGCCTCGTCTAAGTTTTCATTCTCATTTTTTCTTATTGTTCTTATTTCGACGCAAAGGCATGCGCCCCACGCAATTGCAATACGAAGGACCACAATCAACGCCATGCTAATTAATGCGTTAATGCGCCTTGGTAAAGAACGTGTCGACGAGGTCGTTGGCCGATGCAATCGAGCACTCGACCGTTTCCATGCAGCGCATCGAGCCCGTGTGGTACGTCGATCGGTGGCCCTGGAGCTTCTCGAGCGAAGGAAACCAGCCGTTGGCGATGGCCGACGAGTTGACGTGGGCAAAGTACGTCCACGCTTTCGCAAACTTGAGGTCCGCCACCTGGACAGGCTTCGCCACGGCGTTGGGCACTGAGATGTTCTTGTTGAGCTTGGAGAGCGCGTCTTGGGCCATCGCAGTCACAGTCTCGAGCGAGATCGGGTCTTGACCTCGTTTGTACGAGTAGACATTGAAGTACTTGTCGTCTGACAGCTGCGTGCCAAAGATGACGGGCGCGCCGTTGTCAAGGGAGCCGCCGACCGTGAACGGAGCGCTCGCATTCCCCGTGGGCTTGAGCTGCGCCGCGTACCAGTTGCGCGGTTCGACTTGGTCGAGCGTCCACACCGACGAAAAGTACTGCACCGAGTTCACGTGCTTGAAGACGTCGACTTCCTGGGCATCCAGACCCAGCGGCTGAAGGAGGTCCAGGCGGTGCGGGATCGTGTTGATGATTGAAGTGCACGCTTGCGTCTGCGGACCCTTGCCGTTGACCGTGTACGTGATGCTGGCACCGTTGGACCGGCGGTTCGTGCCGGTAATGGTCGCGTTGTACTTGAATTGAGCGCAGTGAAGTGAAGCTGCGATCTTGGTGAAGAGGAGGTTGTAGTTGACTGTAAAGAGCGACGATTGCTTGGTCAAAAACTGGAGAAAGCCACCGGGCTTGTAGTACATCATGGCGTACAGCGCTGGAATGTCCTCGAGCGACCCGTACCCGAAGGTCGTGATGTACAAGTGGAAGAGCGGCATGAGCGCGTCGAGGCCGTGCGCTGGGAGGAACTCGCTCATGGGCACCGCGATGGCCGGCGGCACGCCCTTCTTGAAACCCGGAACGAGGTACGGAGCGTACTTGGCGTACACGCCCATGTAGCGCTGGATGGCGCCAGCGATCGCCGTCGCGTTGGTGGGAAACGTAGTCGAGTCGAGGATCGTACCCGACGGCGCATCGTAGACGTAGTTCTTTCGCATCGGGTTGCTTGGCCGGGAGATGTTGAACTTGTCGGTGAGGTCAATCACCAGCGGGTACATGGTGGTGTCGCCAAAGATGGCGCCAACTTGGTGGATGTAGCCTTCGGGCGAAACCCAGTTCTCGGCCTTGCCGCCAGGACCGTCCTTCTTGTCAAAAATCACAACATCGGTGATGCCCTTCTCTGCGAGACGCAGCGCCGATGCAAGGCCCGAGGGTCCGGCACCAAGAATGCAAACTGGCGCGGTGGCCGTGACGCCGGCGAGACCCGCGAGGCACGAGAGAAGGATCGAAGCGCGCATTGCCGAACGAAATAGGGAATGAGCCCTTTGACGCATTGTCCCGTGCTGCACAGATGGCATAGTAAACACGAAAGCAGTACATACGACAAGGAACCCTATCGATCTCCAGGTTTAGTTGCTTGAACCGCAACACATGTCGACAAGAGCGGCACAGCGACCATTCCCGACGCCTGTACAGCCCCGTTCGCACCCAATGACAAAAAGGGGAATGAAATCTTGATTTGATTCGTACCTCGTTTTGTCATTGACTTCGGGAAGCATCGAGAAGCGCTCTACTATCAGCACGAGGATTCAATAAGCAATCATCCTCGCGGCAGCAAATGGTGAGGCTGGAGGGCTGTCAGGATTGTTTGGTTGTTGAGCACATGAATCTGCTACCGTTACCGTTAAGGATCCAAGTGCGTCAAGACAACCACGTGACTTGCGTGTCCCACTCACAACCCTACAACCCTTGTCATGCACATGGCACTCCTCAACACTTGCCAACAACACATGCTGGATCCAAGGTGCCGTATGGCAATGTGATAGTGTCGTGGGGATGTTAGCTCGCCTCGTCAACATCGAACTACCCGGTACGTAGATCCATTTTCGACATCACTGGGTGGCGATCGTCGCGTAGACACAGCCGGCACGGGCATAGTTGCCCGGCATTCCGAGCGTCCCGATGCCGTAGACGCAACAGAAGAGCGAGCCACACGCCTTGAAAACTTCTATCGTCAAGAAGGGTCGCTTCATGACTTGCACAAGTGAAGAGTGTTTACCAGTGCAGGCGAGAGGTCAGCACCGTATTTGGCACTCGCAGGGACAACCCGATGCACACGCTTCGATATAAAACGACAACCTGCATGGATACCGTGGATACGCAGTGCAGAGCTTGGATTAGACAGAAAAGATCTCGAAGATAGAGATTCTTACGTTGAATAACGGTGTTGCACTGGGGCATCGATCGCAGAAGGCTTCTTCCGCGCGGAGACGCAATGCATTCGAAAGCGGGCGGCCTTGTCTAGCTCTTCAACGGAGTGCTATCGTGCAAGACCTCATTCGGGACCGATTCGAATGTCGCACAGCCCTTCCACAGCCGCCAGGTTGCGAGGGCACGTGGTCAGCAAGGTATCTTTGATCGTGGCGCTCCAATCAGAGAGTCGAGAGTATTGAGCGTACAACGTGTCAGTGTTATTTTGCGTAGAGACCAGCGCCATGGCGCAAGGGTCTATTTTTTTTAATTTTCCCCGGGAGATCCTCGAGACAAACCCTCGCCCAATCCTTGCAGCGAAATTTTGGCGGGAACGAATCTCTCGACACAAAAATCACCCATATTTTGTGTGAAGATGAAGATTGGTGTGCTGCTTCTCAGATCATGGGGTGCTCATGTGCTCACTTTTTCGAGATCGTCTTACTCTGATCCTAGAAACCAAATGCATTGATCACCTTTTCGTACCGTTTCACGCCAATCAAAGTGGTTCCTGCTGCAAAGTGAAATGTGGCCGTGCCGCATGCTAAGCTTGAGTGTCCGATCCTAGGGTCAGTGACGGCGACTAATGTACTAGTTTACAATGCTAAACCGACTATCCGAAGTCGTTTGGCAATCGCGAAATCATCGCCTTGTATTGCAGCGTCGCCGAGTTTCTTAACATTTACAGTTGGCTAGCTGGCTACAAGCAGTCGCTCCAGGAGAGTCTTGACCTCGGTCTCTTGAACGCGCTGCGTCCATTGCGTCAGATTCACCGCATGCCTCGCAGCATCCTGAGACCAATGGTAAACGACAAGGACGGTCAAGCCCCAATCAGCAATCGCCACCTTGTCCAAAAGCCGACCGGTGGGCGTCATTCGGGTGGTCACGACACCTCGTTCGAGAAGCGCTGCTGCAAGTGCTACGAGTTCGTCGCCGGCATTCTTTGGTAGGGGCACATATCTCGCCGCTGTCGCTTGCGCAACCATCTCTGTCTTGAGAAGCAACTGGGACGACTTCGTCAAACACAAGGCCTTGACCGCGTACAAGTCGACGAGGTACCTTAAGTTGTCGATAGGCGCGTTGGGCGTCAAGCAGTAAGGCAGCATCACACCGAGGACCTCATGGCTTCGAAACCCGAGGCTCGCTTGAAGGTCGCGTCTTGGATGGCCAACGCGAGCGTCGAGGAGGAAGCGCAGCGAGGTCAGTGGCTGATAGCGGATGAGCACAAAACTCAAAAGACGATCTTGTCAGAGGTCTGGCTGCCGCGCCCAGAGCTGCGCCACAAGCACTACTTGGCCATGCTCGAGCGCCGCATGCACCGCTTCGAGCGAGCAGCCGACGGTAGACTTTGCCAGCAAGAAGGCCACAATATCCCAAGCTTCGGCGGACGCTGCATTGTCGATGGCTTTGCTGCTGCAACCAATTCTAATCAATTCATTGAAAAATCACCCAGTGCCCAA